ATCTTACCACTGGCGTACAATTGGCCTACCATTGGGTTATCATTGGGCTAACATTGTGCTTATCGTTGCGTCAGTATTGGTATACCTTGTGTATTGTGGCTTGCATTTGCATTCGAATGCTCCGGCGGTGTTGTGACACACTTCGTCTGCTGTGCACAGTGATTGACTATGCTTGCACTCATCAAAGTCTAAGGAACAAAAGAAATTATAGTTCATCATTTAAAACAAACTCTGATATGACTCGTGAACACATGTTCGCGATGCGCGAGCTGAGATGAAGAAAATATTGTAAAAATTCAGAGCATAGAGATTCAACATAATGACAGTAGAAATGGCATAAGCGTTTGACGCGGCAATGTGTGTGGAGCATGCGCACCGCAAATTAGAGACATGCGCCTACGCTATGTACTGGAGCTCCAACATACTAAACACTCACTGTCATACCAGCATATATATACTTATTTGACTGAATTCCGCAGAAGTTTCTCATGAACGAATTCCTACATCCCAACAGTAAGGCTTGAAATACTGACACGTCCAACAGGCAACTGAGTGTACACCCCTCTACTTGATTACGCACTTTGATCGACTGACCATTTATGCATTCACATGGCCCCTATCCTTTATTTTTTCTTCTAAAACTGACAGATCTATTACAATGCGTCTTACCTATCCATACCCATCTCACCCTTATTGTTGTACAACGCAACCAACCCCCAACCTACAGAATATACTGACTAAATATCAGATACAGACCACCCGAACTACACCACTACTTACACAATATACTGACTATATAACAGATGCAGACAACCCAAACTACACCACCACTTACACAATATACTGACTAAATAACATATACAGACAACCGAATCTACACCACCACTTACACAATATACTGACTAAATAACAGATACAGAAAACCCAATCTACACCACCACTTACACAACCGCACATTCACTTGCACAGGTCACCATCTTACCAATGCACTTGTCGTTCTGTCGAAAGAATCCCTTAGCACACTTGGCGCAGTATTTTCCTTTGTATCCTTTGGTGCAGATGCAAACACCTGCGGTAGGAGGGCGTCGTGTGAAATGGAATCAAAATCTTCAACACATTCTAAATTCTCCTCTGATGATATGAGAGCGATTGTTCACATCATCGTTACAACATTTCGGATCATAAGCCCTGAACACTAAAAAAACGTGGGAAATGAAAACTCCACAGCTCGGCGCATATATCTTTATCATACATAGGCACTCATTACACTACACCTACATGGCCAGTGAAGAATTACACAGAGCCACGATTGTCTCGTGCCCTGTTTGAGACTAGATAAAATTCAAACTAATAAATATTAAACTAGTACAACAATGAGCGTCGCACCATCGCCGCCACATCACAACTATACTTTCATAGAAGCTTTAAGTACACACCTGAACCATCGCGTCTGCCTCCTCCTTCGCAGCTGCCATTTCCACTACATACGGCCCCCTCATTGGTTTCGCTCGTCAAACACTCTGCAGCACTCGAGAATGAAACGCAATATGAATAGAGTGTGAGGCCAAAGGCCCGGACATTCGATAGCTCCCGAGTGGGGACGGGAAGGGGAATTAAAGATGGGTTTGTGGACGCGCAAATCCAGAGAAATATGTACATAGAAGGCCCAAACATCGATTACATTGTGCATGTACACGTCCTAAGCACAGCGTGCCAGGAATTCAAACGGGATGCATACACATGGAGGGGGTTGCCAGTTGCATGCTCAGACACGCCGTTCGCACCATCCGCAAAACACCACGACCACGTCTGCTGGGGAATACGGCCTCAACACATTACACAGTCATCTGTCTGCTTCCACATATGTTTCAGCTCGAGAGCCGACCAGTATCGAATACTACCCACCAACCCGACGGGTGGCCGTGGGTAAGAAATCAGAAATCAGATCTCTCCAATTGGAGACTTCAGAAATTGCACATACTTTGACACTGCGCCCCAAAGGTATTCTTGGGGCAGCAAACCTTGGCGTCAGCTATACACAGCAGAGAGAAGAGATCGCCTTCTCCACCCGCATTAAACCATTGCTCCACAGTCTCTTCATGGTCTGACATGAACCTGTGGCACTGCCCGCGTGTGATGAATAGTATACCGGTCAGTGAGCCAAAGCACATTGGAGCGCGTTGTTCGTATATGATGTACACGAACAGATGAAGTGTTATCGTGAGAGGCGAACGAGGCGGGATTGAACTGATATGTCGTACCACCATTTTTATGATAGTAAAACTTATCGTTTCGATAATATGCGCCCGATGAAAACGAAAACTTCTGCGCAGAAGCGTACAATGTGTCGAAGTAGACAAAAACGGATGAATTTTTGACACATATATGAGTACCTTTCGGGTTAAGAGTTCACTTGCAAAAACATATATTTGCACGGAAATGAACATCCATATACATCCATTTCGATAAAAACACATCCAAAAAAAAAACATAATGATATACGAAGACAACAATATACATGTGAAAAGGTTTGGAAATTATATTACTGAATATAGATATATATATATTTATATATACGAAATGTACATATAATATATATATATCCTATTTATATAAAAATATATAGATATAAATAGAAATATATACATATACATAT